GCTTTCATTGAGGGGACCAAATGACCTCCTCCTGTTCCTATGAATCATTCTGTCTCTATTTGCGAACATCCTTGACCTCTTAGTCTTTAGCTGTTGCACTGCATTGACACTTGTGTTCAGTGCTGGGCCACTGGGAATCCTCTACTTATGTCACCGCAGTGTGCCCTAACTGCTCAATGAAAGCTGATGGAAATTATTTGCCCTCAGAAAGTTTCTCAAGGCAGATGATATTGAATTCAACAGCATTTCCCGCTGTGAAAACCAATTACCTTTTGGAACCAAAGAGTCAATCCTAATGAAACACTTCAACAATTTGGTCCAGAGATCCCCAAACTGAATTGCTTAATCTTCCATATTATATTCTTCAATGGAATAACTATCTGTTTTCCCAACTATTTAAAGCCTGTCTGTGCTCCACAGGCATTTAATAATGAGTATTTAATCGATCATTGTTCTTGTACATTTTATACAAGAATTCTGACAGAAATGTTGATCCTCACGGTCCAAATGATGAGCATCCAGCTCACTAAATACATTATGACTGACTTTAATTCTGATAGGAAATAACAGTGTCAAAGCCGGACCCTGTTAGCACTTTGCTGAGGGACACATGTCCCATGTGTACACCTCGTTCTGAGAACACTGGCAGGTAATCATATTGCCAACAATCTGCACTTGCATTATGTCATTTTCCAAAATGGCTGCTAGAATTGTGACTTTCTGTCTGAACATTTCTTTTCCTCTTTGTTTCAAAGTCTTACCATTAGGCAACTATTCTTGCTAATATATACAGTTCCATTTATCATATATTTTAAACATATATATCTAGGTGAGCACTATAGGCTCAGATACTCTATCAGAACGTAATGCACCTTCAGATATTCCATCAAAATCTCCATCAGTGAACACTATAGGTTCAGTAACAAAAACAAAGTTCCTGGAAAAGCTCAGCAGGTCTGGCAGCATCTGTGAAGAAAAACTCAGAGTTAACATTTTGGGTCCGGTGACCCTTCCACGAAACAGAAGTTCAGTTATTGCATCATTGAGTACTGTAGGTTCAGATACTCCATCAGCGAGAACTGTAGGTTCAGATACTCCATCAGTGAGCACTGTACGTTCAGATACTCCATCAGCGAGTACTGTAGGTTCAGATACTCCATCAGTGAGGTCTACAAGTTCAGATACTCCATCAGCGAGTCCTGTAGGTTCAGATACTCCATCAGAGAGGTCTATAGGTTCAGATACCCCATCAGTGAGCACGGTACATTCAGATACTCCATCAGTGAGCACTATAGGTTCAGATTCTTCATCAGTGAGGTCTATAGGTTCAGATACTGCATCAGTGAGCGCTATAGGTTCAGATTCTCCATCAGTGAGCACTATAGGTTCGGATACTCCATCAGCGAGTCCTGTAGGTTCAGATACTCCATCACGGAGGTCTATAGGTTCAGATACCCCATCAGTGAGCACGGTACGTTCAGATACTCCATCAGTGAGCACTATAGGTTCAGATTCTTCAGCAGTGAGGTCTATAGGTTCAGATACTCCATCAGTGAGCACTATAGGTTCGGATACTCCATCAGTGAGTACTGTAGGTTCAGATACTCCATCAGTGAGCACT